AAAGTTGAAAAAAGTTGCACCAGCGTGGCGATGAAATGGAACTGGATATATGAACGACCAAACAAAATTTGATGTCAAATGAATAAATGATAGTAAGACACTGGATGCCAGTACAAATTCTAAGCAGACCGTGAGGCAGGTAGACAAGGAACTGGGTGGCTCTTAAGTGTTGCACCGCAACTCTTAGCAATCTCTGCCAACATGGATAATGAGAAGGGAAGAAAGCCACACTGCTTTTGCATTGCTGCCAAGAAATATTCACAGCTGTGTTTTTTCAACAAGTCTTTCCAGTAAACCAAAGAAAAAAAAGCATTTTATCAGAGCTTTGAGCTGGGAGATAGAACCTATAACTGGGATTAAAAAATTGATTCTATAGGCCAAGTTTCCAAGATTCTGATTCTCTTGAAAGAGGCAGGTGGCCATCAAAACTCCCGTTTATATACCTCTATGGAGATTTGAGGATACAAATATTACCTATGCCTTTAAAGTCCAACTGAAAAATTAACATTACGAAGTAAACTGTGCTTTTCCTTCCCTCCCTAATCATATCTACTACTAACCTATCACAAGGCATGCTTTTTAAAATAAAACCAGAAACATTTGTAGATTTAAAGAAATACAAACCTTTTAGACTTTACTTGTATCTCTTGTCCATCTAGACAAAGAATCTGCGTGAAAACTTGCTGGTATCTTAAGAATTCAATAAGGAATTGCCATCGTATCAAGCAAAATGCAATCGTAGTGTTTGTATGCCTGTCTAGATAATATTAGCCACCACCCAAGAAGCACAAATTGCTTTTCAGAACAGGGCATGATCAGAATTATTATCAGCTTGCCACTCTGAAGGTTGGATGTTTTCTTTTTCTGCAAAGTTTGTCTGATTAAAGGAATCATCAATGGATGGAAACTAATCAAGGAGAAAAGCAACCTAGAACCAAGGAGAAATTTCCTGACAGTGAGAACAATTAATCAGTGGAAGGGCTTGCCTCCAGAAGTTGTGGATGCTCCATCACTGGAGTTTTTCAAAAGAGACTGGACGATCATTTATATTAAATACTATAGAGTCTCTTGCTGGAGTAGGGGGTTGGGCTAGAACACCTCCAGGGTCTCTTCCATTCTGTTTATGCCCGTCCCCTGCCTTTCTAGAAATGCACCGTTAAGGTGTGACAGCAGTTTAAATCAAGAGCAGGAAATGCACCCTGTGGAAATGTTTTATTGAAACAAATGAGGAAAGACTTAGGGCACTAAGATGCTGACTATATGTAAGTGGAAACCAATCTGTTTTAGACTTATTGCATTAACAGGAACTGAAAATATGTAAGTGGAACCCAATTTGTTTTAGACTTATTGCGTTAACAGGAAAAGGGAACGACAGTTAACTAAATAGGATACTTGGGTATTTCCCATCCATCTGTGAGCTGAGGATTTTCATTTAATATAGGCTGCCCCAGTTTATCAACACAAAAATTGGTAAAATAGAGAACACTTCCTACAACCTGCAGAAAGAGTCAAAAAGTGTCAGTATTTTAATCAGACTAAAATATCACACTAAAAATGTACTTAAATATTTCACAAATATTAAGTTCTGATATAATTAAGTACATTAAATAAATGGTTTGAGAATATGAAGATTCGCAAGTGGTAGTTATACGTTCAACCAATTAATGAAAAAACAAAGTTACAGGACTAAGAACAATAAAAAATGAAAATGTTTTTATCAGTTACCAATCATTTCCTAATGCCATAAACTGGAAAAACTCAAACCACTCATAACACAAAAATGAAAAGGAACTTACACTAAAAGCCTCTTTGACTTTTTTGGACAGATTTGAGCTTGTTACTTTATGATCTTCTTCCAGGACAAAGCTAGAAGGCTAACAAAATGAAAATCAAGTTTACAAAGTTAAATCAATGTTCTTCAATCAAGTTCAGCATCATCATCATCATCACAGTGGGGGGTTTGTAAAGGACCATCCCATGAACAGAAATGGGTAATCTATAAAGGCAGCAATACAAGTTATCTTTCATCACACGATGAAAAGAACTTTATAAAATACACCCATCCAGAGATAAATACCTGTGGTTTAACACTGAAGCAGGCCTTGTCCAATTCGCTCCTCTGTCGCTCCTCGTATCTCTGAATTAAATTGGATACAAACTCTTCTATTTCTTGATGATATTGCCTATATAACAGATAATCAGAAAACAGAATGGATCAATTGCTATCTTTAGCTTTTTAAAGCCAACAGGACAAGATTAAGGATTTCTGATATTGTATTTATAATGAACGCTGTAGTTTTTGTTCTGCAAACTTCTCTACTACAAAAGAATGGGTGGATTGAAGTCTCATCAAGAAAGATATACAGATAACTTTAATTTTTTTGATAGATTTCTGCTAGCATTGAACAAATTCAGATTTGTTTCCATATTGCATAAAGAAACAAATCTTAAACATTTAAAATTGTGGATACGCATAAATTATTTTTTAACGTCTTTTCTCCTTTATTGCAAAGACTTACTACAAAGTCTCTTCCATTTTTTTTCTTAAAAAATAAAAAATCACGAATCTATCAAACATGGGGCAGCTGCTAATGAAAAATCTCTTAGCAGGGATTCAGCACACTTGTAAATCTAAATCCACAAGTCTTCTAGCCTAAGATGCATACAATAGCCATCCATTCTGAAAATGAACTCAGCCAACACAAGAAAGGTACTCACTTTGAAACAGTATTATTCATGAACAAGATCTGTAACAAAGGCCCATCAAGTTTATAGTCATCCACTGTTAGTCCACTAAAAAGGAAACCATAAAGCTAATTTTACAATATGAAAGTCGTTTCCTGACCTTTAAAAAATGACTTTACTGTCAATTCATCAGATTTACAAGTCTTTCATTTTCTATTTAACTTCTGTTATTTTTACAGTAAGAAGATAATTTTGAGGGCTTGGAGAGACATCAGATCTGGTTTTGTCCCCAGATCTCTCACATAAATCTCTTTGCAATGTATTTCATAGCCAGGGAGCCAGAAACCCTTGATAAACGATTACAAATCTACCTGAAGGCCCTCTGCTTGGCCAAAACATTGCAAATAATTGAGAGGCTGCAACCTACCTTGGTCGAGTCAGGATGTTCAGTTTTCTTCTGAGTTCCTGATGTGAAAATGATTAAGGAATTTCAGGGCATGATAACAGGGAGTGAAACCAGGGGAATCCCTGCAGCCTCCTCTCTCCAGGCCTCCTTAATTATTATTTTTCCCCATCTTTTTTTACATACTACTCAAGGCAGAGAAAACACCTAATTCCTCCTGGCCTTTGAAAAGAATTTGAAGACCTGGTTCTGCTACTTGCCCTGGGCTTGCGGAGGAGCACACAATCATGGGTTAGTTTACTATCCCACTATTATTACTTTATAAATTGGCGGATTGAAAGCTCTTCCCTCCACCTATCTAGCTTTAAAATTCCGTCCTTGTTTCAACTGCCTCCTATAATATGCTTAAACACCTTCTACCGAGATATAATATGAATACATGGCTAAGTTTTTAATTGTAAACCACCCAGAGATGCTATGGGCCGCTCCCCGCCCGGCCTGCCAGGCGCTCCCAGCGGGGCGGAGGCGGCCTTTCCGCTCGCTGCAGGATATTCTCCGCCCGCAGCTGCCTAACGGTCTCCTCCGAGTCTCTCAGCCGCTCGCGGAGCTCCGCCGCCTCTTCCGCCGGGCCGGGCCCCGCGCTGGGCGTCTCTTCGTCGGCCTCCAGCTGCTGGAAAAGCTCGCGGTCGCCGAAGTCCACCTCGGCCGCCATCTTGGCGAGGCTCGATGGACGAGGGAGAGGAGGAGGCGAAGGCCGCCGCCGCCGTCGTCGTCGCCGCCGGGAGGCCGTAGAAGGCGTTCAGGACCAGGTGTCGCCGTTCAAGCCAGGCTCGGGCTTCAGCCGAGGCCTTTTCCGCCTCTCAGCATTGGAAGACTACGGCACCCGGCATGCAACGGGGCGACGGTTAAGCTGACTGCCCATTGGCTCGCTCGAAAAGGGAGCTTGAGGATGTCGGAAGTTGTAGTTGGGACTAGGCCGCGGTGCATGTTGGGAGCGGAGTATTTCCGCTGCGAGGTTGGGAACAGCTGTGGCTGCTTGGTGTTTGTTCCAGCCCAGGATGATGGGAGACGGTGCCAGTAATTAAGATGAATCATTCTCTATCAGGAAAGGCATGCAAAAATGTCCAAAAACGTATTTAAGAACAGACCATACATGTTATATTTTTAATGGTTTAATTGGAATATTATCAATACCTGCTACTCTGATATAAAACTGCCTCTGCAGATACCATCAATCACAGCACCCACTTTCGGGTTTGTTTTGTGTCCCCAATTCCAAATAAAGCTTTAATTCTGAACACTTGTGATCCTCAAATAGGTTTGAATTTTAAACCGTCCACCATCCCTATTCTCAATCTGCCTCAGTTGGGCATGGGGAGATAAATATGGAGGATTAATATAATGGATGATGTGCAATGCACAAATTAACGGTGGGGGCTCAGAGCTAGTATCAAATTTTGGTTTTCTTTAAGAAACGGTTTTCACACATCTGAGGTCCTTTCCTCTGCAACAGCGATTCACCATCTCTCATCTTACATTTATAATTTCTATGGGAGTTTACATTTCACTTTTTACATTCTGTTAAATACTTCCTAATCGGCCAATGGCTATTAAAACATAGTATCTTTGAGGGGTTTGTCTCTACAGTATTCAATTAGTCCTTTCACAGAACAAAACTACTTAAAAGCAGGGACTATGGGGGAAACAACGGTTGGATAAGAAAGATGAACATAATCTATTAAGATGTATTTTGATATAGCTAACAAATACGTAACACGCTAAAACCTGCAGTATTCTTTATCCTCTAGCAACTTTAATCCTATCCTCTTCATCGGGATGAGCATTTTTCTAAAAAATATATTCCTTGAAATTAAGCTTGAAATAATTTATCTACTAAACTTAAAATACAGTATTACTTGAGAAAAAAAAGTTTTATTAACCAGGTTGTTGCACTGCATTTACGTACCCATTGGCCCGATCTGCTAGTTTTTAACACCAATACAATGTGTTTCATGTCCAAGAGTTGAAAATAACTGTACAAGTTTAAAGTACAAAAAGTACACAAGAGACGGTGGGCACAAAATATCCATGTGGTGAGTTCACCCTCGGCTGTTCTGTTTGAAAACCACAGAAGTAGAAGCGTCCTTCTAGAGCTCTGCTGTGTATAATGGAAGTGAGTATAACCTGATTACAACATGGAACACCAGTTATCACTGATCTGGTATTTACAAAAAATTTGTAATGTCAATAAATTAAAGTCAATGTTAACACCCATGCAAGCTAGGATGCCAGCTTTCGGTGAACGTGGAGCCAACATCTCAACAAGAATCTCAGTCGGAGAAGTCTCAAGCTGTCCAAAGGCATTTCCTCAAACGGCATCCATTCCTCGCATCGAAGACGTAAAGCCCAATCCCATTCCTCTTTGGGTGTGTGTTTGTGACCTGGCCATTTCGTACTGTGCGTCCAGATTGCGGAAGACTTCTTCTTGCTGTTTCAAAGTCTTATAACTCTCCTCGTCCACCGAGCTGCTAGCCCCGGCTTCCTCCTCACTCTAGGAGAAACAGAAAGAAAGCCATCAACCACCAAAGGATCACCAAACTCAACTCTTCTGCTCTGATACACGGCATCCACAGCAGCACACAGCGAAGATTCAGATCCAAAGCTTTGCTAGAAGTCTCCACTAAGGTTCCCATAATTTTCACCGGTTACCAAGTAGTGGAGCACAAGCAGTCTTTCCCCACCTGAGCGTCTCCAGATCTGCTCTGAAAAGTTGGTGGGATTCTTGCAGTGTATACAGGAGGAAAGCAGATCCCCAGGAGATCATTTTAATCCCAATCTGTATTTCCCAGTGTCTGAGTTTATCTCTTAACTCATCCAGCTACTCAAAGAATCTGACTTCATTCCATGTGCTGCTCTGAAGTTTTGTTTCATAGCCTGTAGGCCTTCCGAGAGCACACAGATCTGATCATTCTGGGGTCAAGGCAAAACTAATTTTAGAAACACCTACCTTAATGCCCATCAACTTTCTAAACTTGACATTTTGGTCCTTGTTTCCGAAATTCAGTTTCTCCCAGATTTCCGCAGATTGTGATTTATCCTATAAAAACAGAAAGTAGTGAGTTTTTAATAGGTTACATATAGTTCGTACTATAAAAAAAAAATCAACATGTGGCCACTGGCAAAAGATTTCTCGTGTACAAACGTAATTTTCTCCTTTTCACCATTCCCCTAACCCATTCACACACCCCCATGGTCCCCCACTCAAACGTTCAGTACGAGGACTCGCTTAGCGCCTAGTTCCTGTATCAGCGTGGCCCTGCGAATGAGCCCTTCAAAGCTGTTTCCAACTTAAAGAATTTCAAAAGCTGCAAAGTGTCACGAGCTGCACAGCCAGGGGTAGCCCTGATCTGCCTCCGAAAACTTCCCCATGCAGACTCCCCACAGGCAACCAACGGAAGGTAAACCGGCGGAATTACCCCTTCTTTCTTGCCCTGCCAAAGCATTTTCCTCTTCTTTTCTTGCTCGGCGAACTTCATGGGGTTCACAGCTGCTGGGTTATAGTAGCTGGGAACGGCTATTCCCGTCTCGGCCAGAGCCTTGGCTTGCAGGGCTGCCATCTGAGCTGCCATGGCTATTTGGGGAGTGACCTGCGTCCCGGAGGCCAGGAGAGCTGCGACGTTGATGACTGACCCGCCGGTGGCAGCTGCCGCTGAAACCGACAAAACAGGATTCTTCAAAAGGCACCAGCTGTCTAATAGCCCAGCTTTACAAGTCATCAACATTGTACAAACTCTTTTGCAGATGATCTTTACCAGCTTTTGACCAAATACATAACATCCTACTTTCCTGGTCTTTGTATTTTTAAAAATGGTAGAAGAGTAGAAAGTCTCTAGAGATATAGATCAAAACAAAATAAAGCAGTGAAGTGTTATTATCTCTATTTATTTTAAAGGGAAGTTCAATTACCGGCAACAATTTCCTGTTGCTTCTGCTTTTCAACCAGTTCTTTTTCTCTCTGTTCTTGCAATTTTTTTGCTCTTTCCAACCTAAGAATAACAATGAAGAAAAGATGTCAAAAGGGGTTTTCTCATTTCTGTCCCTTTAGAAACAAAACAGCAAAGACAAGCTGAAAAAGCTACACACAAGTCTAGTACTAGATTCCCTAGTACTTTTCTCTGCTGCGGCTTCTTAATTCTGTTTCGAGAGATAACATTCGATGGCAAAGACAAAGGGGCTGAAGTATTTTCCCACTTCCAGGTTCATAGAGATTATGAACGGAGGAGGGGGAATCATGAAAACCACCTAAGAAAAAAAATCAAATAAACCTACAATCAAAATAGATGAACATTTGGGAGGAGAGTCTCTTACCGTCTGGCCAAGGCTTCCTGAGCATCCATCGCCGTGTTTCGCCCCCTGAAAGGTGGGGGGCTGGGAGTTCGGCTGTGACTTCGGCTGAACTTTCGTGGTTTTTCAGGTCTCTTCTTTCTCTCCCTGTTCAGAAGCAGAGTTCCATTTTTCTTGTCTTCAAAAATACTTATCAGACCACAAATGAACCTGAACAGCACATTCTCCCGTTCGCTGTCACTCTCTCCACATTTGCCCTTTTAAGGCTCAATAAGAAGCGTCAACATACCTGCTCCGGCTCCTGGTTCGGCTTCTGCTGCGACTTCTATGCCTGTGTCTGGATCTGGATCGAGATCTGGATCTTGGGCGCCGCTTTTTATCCCGACTGCGGGAGCGGGACTTTTTTCTATCGCGGCTTCGACTACGGTGTCGCCTGGAATCACATCCAAACCCCTATTAACCTTTCCAAGCTTGACTATCCCGCTTAATCACAAGCAAAGGAAAGTATTATTTGCATTGTGTTCTGTTTGTTTATTATTATTTTTTTAAAAAACCATAATTGAGAAAGTTTTTAGGCTTATTACTTAACAGATGGCCCCTGGAATGAGTGCAAAAACACTAGTCAGCACTGCCTTTCTACAGAGAAACCAGTGGCAAAAGGACTCGGCGTAACTATTGTAAGAAAAACAATCCAAGATATCCCCAATGTAGTTAAGTATAAAAATTTGGATCTGGGTTGAAGAAACAAATATGGCTGGTCCTCAACTTACGACCACAATTGAGCCCAGCATTTCTGTTGCTCAGTGAGATGTTTAAGTGAGCTTTGCCCCATTTTACGACTTTTTTGCCACGTTAAGTGACTCCCTGCAGTTGTTAACAACCCAGTTGTTAAGTGAACCTGGTTTCCCTATTGACTTGTCAGTAGGTCGCATTCCCATTCTTTTGGGAGCGGGCTCAGCAATCTCCCGAAGCCTCTGCAAACCGACCACATGGGGAAACTATGAGCCCACCTTTCCCGAGATCGAGACCGTGAGTGGCTACGTCCTCTGGAGGACTTCCTCTCCTTGCGCTTGTGCCGCTCCTCGCCATTCTCCGAAGAGTTCAGGCTCTCTCTGCCTTTATCGGAAGGGGGCTCTTTATCGTTGTGGTCTTCAGGCCTGTGCTTCTTGGAGGACTTCTCCTTGGACCCATGTCTTCGTGCCTGTTTTAAGAAGAAGTTGGTTCTTTCAGGAAAATAGTGCAACAAAAAGAGTTAGTGTGGGCATTAGAAGATCAAGAATGATACGTTGTGATGATGCAACATTAGTAACCTTAGGAGCGTGGCCCCAGTCAACTGAGATGCCTTTCACACCACCAACTATGCAACGTTGCAGAGATGACACTATCACTCCCCCCCACCGCTGACTTAAATCTTGCTCCACAAGATGTTAAAACATCTCCTGCCACAGCCGGCTTTACATCATGAGACAGAAGAGCTGTTCTGAGTGTTTGAGGGGCCTCGTCCACAAAAGGAACCCCAGAGAAATCTTTAAAAAGCTCGTCCAGCAACGTGGCAGGAGATTTATAGGCCATCTTTCTGAGGTTTGGTGGTACAATGGACCCCAGCCTAAAACCTTGTCTGTCGGGTAACCAGTGTTCAAGCAAGATCGTGATTTGAATTTGCAACAATCTGGGCTTTTTCTGTAGTAAGACACTTTACCAGTGTTTGGTTCTCTAAAATTTGGATGAAGATTCTCTGCAACTTTCCTTTTCTGTACTTTTACTACACAGATACATTTTTCTCTATGAATTGTATTGGAAGCGATACTCGGAAGCAATTGCACAGGTAATCCTTAGCATTCTCATGTAATTCTTTATGCCTTCCAGGTCCTAGTAACCTCACTTAAAACCAGTATTGCATATATATAATTCAACCATTCATTCATTACACCAATTTATTCTAAATGTTAAGCCACCACAATTACTAGTATTTTAACTTTTATGGCTAAATTTTTAATATGAAACTATTGGGGCGCCCACTGAAGATTAAAAAAAGGGAGTGTAAAGTGTACTTGTTGCATATCAAAAATGGAAAAAGCTCACAAAGGTGAAATAAACCCAACTGCCAAGACAGAGGTATTTTATGGAAGGTGGTGCTTTTCCAATATGTGTGATGTCCATATTATTTCTGTCCTCCTCCTTTTTGGATCGTGTAAAATTACTAGGAGAACTAGGAATAACTCTTTACTTAATCAGCCTTTAAGCATTACAGATTAGGACAATTACCTAAAAATATTGGGTCAAACATCAATAGAAAAATCAAATTCTAACAGCAGTTATTCCCCTGGAATTTAAAATAAGAAACAGTACAGTTCTTAACTAGTTTGAACGGTTTCTACATTATGAGGGAAATACTTTTTGAAAACATAATGGAATAGTCTTCTAAACATATAGCATGTACTTTAAAAACACCATTATATCCAATAACTGATTTAAATTTCTTTGCAAGGGAAATATGAGTTTGAATGACTAATAGTTACCTTATCATGAAGTAGGCTTATAATTTTGCTATCTGAGTCTGGAGCGTCTTCAGTTCAGTCTCTTCGCGCATTAGCACGCTGAGTATGATTTATTATAGAAATGTTATCATGTGAGCTAAACAATATAGTCAATTTCACAAATACTCTCCTACTTTTTTTTAAAACAGAGCTTCCATTGCAAAGGGGGGGGGGGAAAGCTTCTGGTCCCACATAAAGAAATTTCACCTAAAGCTCTTGTCTAGCAGAATTTTCTAGCTACTGCTGATGCTCCTGAACTGAAACCACCTCTGCACCAGAGGCCGGGGGTTCCCTTAGCAATACTTCCACAATGGCTTCCTCATCTCAGTCCCCTCGCTTTGGCCTCAAAACCATTTTCATCTCTTGGCTCCTGTTGTACAGGCAAACCCCACCACAGGAAAACTCCAACTATGTCCTCACCCAAAGGGTGACAAAAAAATTCAGGGTCAAGGTGGAATGAGAGGACAAAGAATTTTGCAAGTGCTTAGCTGAACTCTGAGGAATGGAAGCTCTGTGGGAATCAATTATATTAAAAATTTTATCATGGTATTTTCCACAATAAATCTCCACATGAATTATTTTGGTCAATTAAAATTATTACCTTTTTGTTATAAGGATGGCTTCATTCATGCTTCTCACTCCAAGCACTTTCTGAATTTTACTTTTTTTTTTTTGGTACTTACCATTTAGACAATTATATCTTAAGATTTATACATGCTATGACATACTTGTAAATATGTCCTGCACAAATACCCAAGCACTACAAAGTATTAATTACCTCTTTGCTTCTGCTCCGACTTCTGTATTTTTTCCCGTCATTATCTAAAGAAGAAAGCATCTGTTAGTAATCCAACATAGTTTTTAAAAAATCATCTGTACATGATATTAATGTTTAAGCTACTGATTTAAAATAGTTGGAAAACTTAATATTCCCAACCCCCTTCCCTGATACAAGGCTCAACATAATTCTGAGGTCTGAACTATTTAATCAATTCACCATTCTACCTTGAATATAGAATGCTATCACTTATGAAGTACGTTCCAAGAAGTTACATTTTGAATAAAAACATTTATTTTAAAGTTACAGAGATTGTAACAAATTACTACCTTAATTAAGGTAACCATTAAACTACAAGGATATTCACTAGCAAAATGTAATAATCGAAACAGCTAGAGACTTTCATACCGGATTTTCGTTTTCTTTCTCTTGATCGGGAACGTGACCTTGAATAATGGTGTTTTGAAGTTCTAGGTGAACTGGATGCATCTGATCGTTCCTTCTTCTTTTCTCTCTCGGGAGAGGATTTCTCTGGGGGATTTGCCTCTCGCTCGGAATCACTAGTCTAATTTAAAATGAAATCACTTTTAATATTTGCAGTATAGTGACTGTCTACTACTCTTCTGATATCCAGAGTAGAACACTACCTCAAGTTCTTTAAATTACTCAATCTACAGCACATATTATGTTAACTATGATATACACTTAATACATCTGACTTCCTTTACACTACACATTTTAATAGCTTTCTCTAGAAACTAAATTACCCTCCTCACTTGACTATTCCAGCAAATCTGAATAACACAATTTTGTCATTAAATAATTTCTTATCAGGCTGAATAACTAGATAGGTGTGAAAAACTAGATAGAAAAAATGTCAAGAATTTTATGATTGCAGTGCTTTACTTGGGATGAATACCTGTTTATATTTTAGGAATATTCCAAACAAATTAAACCCCAGCTGAGAGTATAGCAGAACTGGAGCTGTACAACCCTAAGGGCTTTAAAACCAGGTCACAAACAACATTTAACATTGGCAACTAATAATAGCATTATGTACCAATTACAATGGCATTATCAACCAATCAATAAAAATATAAAAAGCCTTGATGCTAAATAAATGCTAAGGAGCTATAAGCCCCTATAAGCTTTATGCAACATTTATGTTTGTGTTTATTCCAAAGTCCTTGATGTCCAAGTTAAAATATTTACTCAGAATACAAGCCCCTCTGAAGTTAATAGACCCCCACCCACAAAGCTATTAGAACTTGATTCCATTCATTCAATTGCAAATTGGAGTTTTACTGATCCCACGTTGGTTATCCAGTGATGAAGAGTTATCTTTTTCACAAATTACATTCAAAACAGTCAAAGGGAAAATATAGCATGAAGAAATACAAATAAAGGGAAGAGAGGTCGGGTTTCCCCCCCCCTTTCCTCTCCCCCTGAGAAGACAGAAACCTGAAGCCACTAAAAAATACCTTAAAACAATTAACACAGCTTTACACTCAGCATCTTCCTCTTCAATTGGGAGCAGCTACAGAGGGCAGAAGCCAAACTGTCCTACTGGCCCCCTTTTTTAGCAACCGCCCATCTCTGCCACCCATACCGTATACAGGCATATGTATGTGAGTCAACGTAAATGTGAAAGATTCACACATGCCCAGCCTACCGGCTTCTTTTCTTAAGGTTATATTTGTAAAAGAGCAGCAAATGGGCCTGGTCTTCTCTCCCCATCCCATAATAAGCCCTAGACATCCCCCAAGCCTTTGTACCAATAGACACATCCTGTTCTTTTAGGATACATCCTCTAATAAAATTTGCTTTAAAAAAGGCTTCAGATCCATACATATATTGGGGCTGTATATAGGTACATCTATATACGTATACACACACATATATAAATAGGAAATATATACATACACAAGACACACACACACACTCAGAGGGAGGCTCTGCCCGCTTTAACTCTACAAAAAGCCCTTCCCCACCATCACCACCTACACGTGTATGAGGCATGTCAGCACAACGTGGGGATACACACTCGCCTCCCCACGAAGGTGCCAGGAGAGAAGCTTCGAGAAGCCGCGCTATGGGGGGTACCGCCTCCCTCCTCCTCCTCCTCCCCCCCTCCCGGAGGCCCATCATGGCGGCCGGGCGCCATCTTGTCTGGCGCCTTCCACCCGAGGCGGCTCCGCCCGCCGCCTGGGCCTCGCCCTCCGCCCGCCCGGGAAGCCGTCGGGAGTCTCACCGCCATGCCGGGGTGCAGGGGAGGGGAAGCGGGCGCCCAGCGGGACCTGCGGCTCCTCCGCGCCTCCGGCCCCTCAGCGAGCGCCTCCGCAACTGACTGGGCGAGCAGCCCTCTCCGCTCGGCCCCGCCCCCTGCCTGGGAGATGCCCGGATGGGAGCGGCGGGAGGCAGAAGAGCGGCGCTGCGCCTGCGCGGACGCCGCGGCGGGCGAGGCAGCATAGAGCTATATCTTCTAGAGTGGGGCGGCTGCTGTTTCTTTCCCTGCTTTGGCTCTTTTTAAGGCTCTCCTGCTGGGGCGATACACTTTCCCCAAAGAACAACGAGTAAAGAGTTGTAACATTTAAACAGAAATATGATGTGATCCCTCTCTTCCCATTTTTCTTCAATAAAGAGAAGATACGTTGGGCTAATTTTCTCGGATGCGCCCAATCCTCCTCAGTTTAGTCCTTGGATGCATTGGGAGCTGAATGACCAGGAGAAAGCCTAGAAAGGCCACCCAAGCGTCCCTCCCATCAGAAAACGAGGGTCACAACGACGAGACACTTCTATACTTTTTCTATCTCCCCGGCTTGGCCCGCCGTTCTCTTGAGGAAGATTGGCCCTTGCGGAGCGCCGTAGCCGGCTAGGCCCCGCCCCCGATCAGCTGGGAAAACTCCCGCCAAACAAAAAGTTGCGCTCGAACTTCGGCGGTTCGGTCGCTGCGCGGTTTCCTCGCCTCCTGCCCAGCCGGGATCGGTGTCAGTCGGTAAGAAGCAGCCCGCCGATGGGAGTTCACCCGGTGAAGCTTTAGTTTGGGATGTGCATGCATGTTTTGCTTCGTAGCTTCTCTTAGAATAGAGACTAGAATAGAATAACAACTTTATTGTCACTTTAAAGGTACATTATTCCATTAAAATGAGATCTCGTTGCATACAACTCTCAAAGGGCAACCACGTAAATATAAATATAATACATATATACACACACATGTGACGCAGAGACAATACAGTGTAGTTACAACGGTCTAGTTGCTTTGATCTAAAAAAAAAGTCATCAAACAGCTTAAACAGACTTTTAAGGTCAAGGAGATGCAATCCAGAAAAATGACATTATTACCACTGGGCGTTTGTGCGGGTGCTTATTGGTGGGTTAAAGGGGAAGATATTTTTAGAGAGACTGAGTGAAAAATACTGATTCTGCTGTTAAAAGTGCACACACCTTTTTTGAAGCGAGATGAGATTTAGAAATTCAGGCAGGCTGATTGTAAAAAACAAAAAATCCTAACTTTCTTGCCTTGAGGAAGAAAGGTTCTACCGATAGATAAATCCGTGACGTTGCAAACTCATGAATGAATGTGACCCAGGAAGGATCCAATCTGGGTCAATTACCCGGTCCCCGTGATCGACCCAGATTGGATCCTGCAATATTGCCAACTCAGATCGCCATTTAAAGGCTTCCTTTGCTTTAATGCACATGATGGCTTCGTTGTTTGTCTTCTGACTTTCGCCGGACAGAACACTGTCCTCCGATGATGTGGGACAATGTCAATGAATGAAGGACCTAGTATTAAAAATGTTTGCCAGAGAATCTTATAATCAGATAATGCAGGAAAGATATTGCATTTTAGGAGTAAAGATGTGGGACAACGTCGAGCTCCTGATGAGCGAAGATACGGGCAGTGGGCAGCTGAGCATAAGTTCCAGGCAGGAGTGTGGAAGCGCGCTCTACCAGATGAACACGCTGCTGAAAATGACCTCATCCCAAAAGGTAGCACAGCCTTAAGGACCCATCTCAGTGGCTCTGGGTGCAGTGGGAAACCACAAGGGCTCAAACCAGGATAAGCACCCAATGCTGCTGTGTCTTCCCTGGGTTCCTGACCCAGAAAAACACACCTTTGTGTTTTTGTGGGAAGGCTGCTGTGAGATCCCTTTTGATTTTCAATCCAAAGATCTAGTAACTATAAAAAAGAAATGAGCAGGCCTACAACTCTATTATAATAGTAAACCGTCCTTGAGTTATGACCAGTCACTTAGTGACTTCAGAGTTACGACCAACCTGAAAAAGGGGATTTACAACCCAGATTTGAAGTTCCAGACTCCATTATGGTTGTAACTTGAGGACTACTTACATATTGATGTCTAGCTGCAATGTGCATTAGTTGTTGATGGCTGCACTAATTCTTTTGCTTTAATCTGTTGACAGATATGCCAAGAACGCAAAGCTCATTGGTTCTTGGTGAGCTTTTTTTTAAATCAATCTGTCTACGTGGACTTTTATTATATATATATATTTAACTGATCAGGTTTTATCTAACCCGGAATTAAATGCCTGCTGTTTGAATGATGGCTGCGTGCTGGTGGCTGACAGGACGGTGGTGGCACTTGACAATATTTGTCAGACTCTTCAAATGTTTATCCATTTTGGTGAGTTTCCAGCTGGGGGCAGGAACTAAGTGTTTTGTTTTGGGGGTCCTCATCATCACTCGCAATAACACATGGCTGGCTTTATGAACCTTTCAGAAACGAAGGTGGACATTGTTGGCTTGTGTCAAGAAGGACAGTTCCTTGTCGCAGGTGAAAGAAGTGGGAACTTGCACCTGATTCACGTCTCTTCAAAACAGACCTTGCTAACGAAGGCATGTGACTTATTTCTTGCCCATTCTTGTAAAAATGTCGCTTGTATTTGAGAATTCAAGGTGCAGGATGCTAAGCTACAGTTTTAGCACAGGGCAAGGAAGTTCTAAGTTCACCCATTCCTTAGTCCGG